AAATTATTTTAATATAAGTAAGAGGTTAAACAATGGCATATCAAAAATGGCGTAAAACCTCTAAAAATCGAAATATTCTAAACCAGACGTTTTATTTATGTTATAATAAACTTCTTTAAGAAAAAAATAAAATGTTATGTGTACGATATATTTAATACTTAGTTATTCAGCCTGGGTTACCTGTGTTTAGTACTGACCACGTGACCATTATTCACGATTAGGGGATTCCCCTAATTTGCATTCGTCGAGCCTCGCACTGTTTTCTATGTGCGCTTCGACTACTAAACGTATAAATCGTCTCAAATTTATAACGTTTGAATTTGATTTGACGTGCGATTTTTTAACACTATAGTGTATCTTATAAGATACAAATCGCACAAATTCTTCTATCTGTCATTGAAAGGCTYCAATAACTGTCAGAACTCGTACGTAACACTAGGTTAACACTTAACTTTATTTTAACCAATTCTTTGATATATTTGAGCAGGAAGAGTTTTTTTTTTTTTTTATTCATTTATCAAACTACAAATCAAAAACACACACACATACAGACAAGCAATTTACAACTTTTAAAGAAATCACACTAAGTGTGTTTCTCTAGATTTTTTTTATATATTCTCTATTTACAATTTTTTTTGAGAAAGTCGATAGATTCGACATCGAACATATATCGTTACTGTTACAACTTGCTTGAAGCTAACCACTGTCTGTACATATTRAAGCTTATAGACATTACTTATCATTTACAATGCTATTTTTAAATAGCTTTTTTTTWAACTATATTTAGTATATGCTATTAAAAAATATATTCAAAATGTTTTAAAAACTACTGCGACATTTTACATTGTGAACTCTGTTTTTTTCCTACAAATCTTGATTCAGCGTGTCTTTTCTGTACATCATTTTGGCGTGGGAGGCTATAACAATGAATTTATTCTTGGCTACTTTGACAATCGAAATGGAAAATTGGCTGAGCTGTGATGTTAAGCTTTATGTTCATCGCTTGTTCCATTCATATTTGCGTTGATTAGACAACGTTGTACAGCCTTGTCAGCATTGGAAAAAAAAAAAGAAAAGGAAAAAAGAAATGAACAGAATGAATTAATTAATGGACATAATCGCTTGTTGAAAGAATATTTTGGTGGTGACATGACTGCGCGCGACCCACGGCCCACGTGGTCGTTCACGTCTGATGACGTTAATATATGGCTGGCTCGCGAACTTCAAAACTCTGGCAGTTCACATGCGCATTTGTAACAATGAATCCACGTGGACATCCGTAAACTGCGGCAGGTCTGAACTTATGACACTGATGTATAAAAAAAGTGTTCGCAATGAAAATAGCTGCAATTTGCTTTAAAAAAAGGGTAGAATGGCTACATTTTTATTTTTATTATTATTATTATTTTTTTTTTGCTTTAAAAAGGGTAGAATGGCTACATTTTTATTAGCCTGACAACAGTTTAGGTTCGGGTGCACGGAGGCTACAGTTTTATATAAATGTTTTTGGTATAATATGCAATAATATTATCCTTATTCCTCGTTTTCAAAGCCGTCAACAAAAGTCTGACTATATGAAATTTTGAATGAATAGGAACGCTTGTTATTTATGTGAAAACTAATGATTACAAAAGACATGCAAAGCGAATATTATTTGAGTTCATAAAGTTTTTTTGGTGTATATCGTGCACGGGGGACACAAAATATGCTCGATGACATGAGTAGCGATAAGCTCTCACTATACAGAGGAATAATTAATAAAAATCCTATTATCAAATCTAAATATCATGGTACTAACCAGCACGTAGTGCAAAGACATCGACGAAAACTGCGATCGGCGTTTTCCTCAGCTTTTTTCTTTTTACTTTGTTTCATCGCGTCCCTATGATAGATAAATGCCTAAGTGAATATCATGAGGACCAAAATACAGTATAGATACATCTTGGTGAAAAGTTGGATTCTCGTCGATCTGCTATGACCGTGCAGTATGTACGAACTGTGTTAAATGTACAATACTCCAGTTTCGAATTCATAGCGAAAAACCGCTGCTTTATTTGACAACAGACTCTCTTGCGCAAAGACCTGACCAAACACAAAAGAGAGCACGAGATAATTATGTCGTAATTACAATAGCCAATTTGCATTTTCCACGAGTTGAGACTAACCCTGTGTTCCCATAAGACCTACGGTTAGCGCTATTGTACTTACAACACTTTCTCATGCTTTCTTTTGTGTTTGGTAAGTTCCTTGCGTAAGAGAATCTGCTCTCAAATAAAACAGCGGTTATTCGCTTTGAATTCTGGAGTATTGGCTTTAATGGTCCAATGCTTGTTTATGTTCACCTCATCCAATCAGCGCTTTTTAACTCGAAGATTGCGAAGCAATCGAAGAGTTATAGGAGGGAGATGAGGGAGATGATATGTGAGGGGGACTAGTTAATTAGTCACTAATTATTTTTTCTGTAAACATACGGGCATTTAGAAATCCGTAACCAAGATGGCCAGGTGTTTTGATACAGTAACACTGGAAAAAATCGCGCGCCGTGAACCCTGTAAATATGATGTGAATACAATGTAAATTCGATTTACRGGATATTTACAAAGTATGTAAATATCCGGTGTTTGTCCAAAATTCTGTAAATAACCTGTAAATTCAGATTTACGGGATATTTACAGGGTTTAATTTACACGAATTTTACGGGAAATTTACAGAGTACGTAAAAACTCTGTAAATTTGATGTGAATTAAATTTACATAGTTTTTACACTAAATTTACGTAGTTTTTAAATTATTCTCGAACAAAACAAATGAAATCGTTCGATTTTGCCATTTTTTTATTTTAAAACATGCAAATATATGCAAAAACTCCAAAGCGAGGTGAATAAATTATTAGTGAAAACCAAGATGGCGGTCATACTTGTCCATTTTTACATTGAAAGCAGTGATTTGCACTTTAAAAAGGTGCACATTTCAAGATATAGCGAAGATTTAGTCTTTGGATGGTAAAAGCTTCGATGAAGACACTCAAAAGATCTATCAACTGGCCTGGGTGACTATAACGGGTTCGGCATGAATTAATCCTTCTCTGTGACATCTCGAAAGCAGAGGTGAGTGGACTTAGTCTAAAAAAGCGCTTTGATTTTTGCTGTCTATAAAGGAAACTAAAGAAAATTGAATTTTTTAAAAGCTTTTAAACTTTAATAAAAGCCTTAAAATGTGAGTTTCTTTTAGCTTAAGCTTTCAAGAAGAATATTTAAAAAAAGTGTTGTGTTCCCTGACCTCTGAATTTGACATGGCAGGAGATGGAAACTATTATAAATTTATTAATGTTGAGATATTCAACAAATGTTATTTAATCACTTATTTGATGTCATTATATGAATTTTTTTGTAGGTTTCTGTGTTGTGCTACTTTGATGTGCTTAAACAAGTCTGTATGGTGTAGGAAATGTTCTCTCAAGTCAAGTCTGAAACACAATCGGTAATTTACTCACAAGACAGCTTCTTATATTAGCAAAAGTCTTGTATTTTTGTCAAGAGTGAGGAATGTCAATACTGACATAACAAAATCATGTGTCACAACACATACCCGACACATATTTGCTGGCATAGGATATATCAGTACCCGAGACCTTTACAGAAGCATTCCTTTCATAAGGAATACTGTTAAATATATTTTTTATCCGATTGAGATATGAAGGTTCGTGTGTTAGGGAAAGTGCATTTATTGTGCCAAGGGGAGGTATGAGGATGTTGAAGAGGGCCTGCCAAAAAACATTGAATAAATTCTCAAGGGCCTTTAAAAACTTTGACGAGCCAAAACAGGGGCTCAGAAAATAAGATGTCCATATGACATCCTCATCCCTCCCCTTCCGACCACAACTACCACTCAGCATAATGTATGTACTTTACCTTAAACAATTGTTTCATAGGCTAATCCAACTTTTCATATTGATTTGAATGATGTTACATGATTTTTAGGGCTGGAATGGGTGGGGAGGGTCCTATATCAATTTTGCCAGCTCTAGGGGAGGGTCACATTTTCACTCAAAAGCATATCTAGAGAAGGTTCTTCAACTAGTTTTTAGGTTTTAACCTATAGTATACCCATGGTTCTATTTAAAGGTTATTATCTCTAACATGAAAGCATTTGACTAAGATAATCTGTCATCAATTCTTGAAAATTTTCCAGAAACAGCGCAATCAGTGCAAACAATTCGCTGCTCTCTTTCTGTACTGTCAAGACCTTGGGCATTGTTTTCCTATACGTACCTCCCAGCGGGTAAATGACATATATATCATATTAACTATTATATACCTGTAGTCAGCCTCTTGTGGGATGGGAGGAGGGTCATCAGTATTTTTGGTACTTTTGAGGGGAGGGTCAAAAGTGTAGTTTACATTACTGGGGAGGGTCACACTTTTTTTGAAAAATTACTTATTAGGTGGAATGATTCTAGTCCTCATGACTTACATGAACTTTGATGAACCATCAAAGGTAAAACTGCCAAATGTAGTTTTAATAACTGTACATTCAAAAGATAATATTACAAATATGGCATAAAAATAATAATTATTTAAAAAAGCTTGTTTTTGATTGCCAAAAATATTTAATATATAAGCTTAATACTATCAATTCTAAATCTATTTACATTTAAGAGTGCTTAGCTAAACTCAAAATTTTTTATTTACAAGTAAGGAGTGCTTGGCAGTAGACCAAGTACACGAGATGTCCATTTTAGCAAATATAACTATTTACATTTTTGTTTTGCTTGCATACAGTTTACATAATTACAGTGTAATTTATTAATCTTTGGATCATAATCTAATGATCCTCATGCTTTAGTCCAATTAAGAAATAATTGGTTGAGGAAAATTCCAAGGAGTGCAAAAGTTATTTCTTAATTGGACACTGTACTAGATTTCTTTTTATTATAGCTATTAAAGTATGCATTCTCTGATTGGTCAAATGATATTGTTTATTTCACCGATAAATGCACTGATGCAAAAATGCTATAATATAAAAACAAAAACAACAAAATTTTGTGCGTTTCTGGTAAAATAAACCACTTGGGATATTGGGAAATGAATTTCACATATTATTCCCAGCTGTACAATTACGAAAATAAATAAATTCATATTTTATCATTGTGAAGAAGTAGTTAATTGGCAGTATTTGATATGTATCAGAATTTGATGCTTTAAATCACAAAAAAGGCTCTCTAAAGTGCAGACGGAGGAAAGACGTTGACAGGTTGAGAATATTATTATTAATAATATATGTTAAAAATCTAATTATCACATACGTAGTGTATGTAAATATTCTAAAATGATATATTAGCTTCTTAGTTATTGTTTAGGTCCAGTACCTGTTTATAATTTATAATTCTATTAAATCTGTCTTATTCAATTGCTTATATGTAAAACATTATAGGTACGAAATAAAGTTTGTTGTTGTGCATGGTGGACATTTTCTCTGATAATACACTTTGCTCGTCCTTTTGACAGGTCTTGTTTTTAATCCTGCAGGGTACATGCTATACCCTCCTCACCAATATGTGATACCGGTGGGGGAGCCAGATTAGACGCCGGCCACTCGTCCATGAGACAGGTAGTACTGGGTTACATGTTACTAGTAGCAGACTTGATGCCTGACCTGACTAACATATGTATTATTAAATGATCAACAAACGGTTTCCACATTTTATATGATCTGAAAGAGGCTACTTGAATGAAACTTGTCAAACATTGAAAATGACTTGAAAATTTAG